GCTGGGATTACAGGCGAGAGCCACTGCGCCCGGCCTGTTTTTTTTTTTGGTTTTTGAGACAGATTCTCTCCCTGTTGCCTAGTTTAGAGTGCAGTGGCACAATTGTAACTCATAGGTCACTGCAGCCTCTAACACCTGGGCTCAAGTGATCCTCCCACCCCAGCCTCCCAGGCAGGTGGAACTACAAGCATGCACCACCATGCCCAGCTAATTTTTTGATTTTGGTAGCCATGGAGCCTCACTATGTTTCCCAGGCTGGTCTTGAGCTCCTAGCCTCAAGTTATCCTCCCCCATCAGCCTCCCAAAGTACTGGGATTACAGGAATAAGCCACTCTGCCCGGCCTCAAGAGTCATTTTTTTTTCCACAAATTCTCCCAGTCTAGCCCGTAGGGGCCACAAGTCCCTCTTACCAGGGTGACTCTGACCTTCCTCTGAGCATCCTCACCTAAGCCATGTGTCTGCGTGCCTGCTACTTAGCATGTAGTTTAGTGCAAAGTAGCTGCTTGTGGAATAGCTGAAAGGATAAGATGAGTCCTCAAGAGCTTGATACTTCAAACTCCTGGCCTCAACAGATCTGCCCGCCTTGGCCTTCCAAAGTGTTGGGATTACAGGCGTGAGCCCTCACACCTGGCTTATTGATCATTTTGACATTGATTATATGTCGAAATGATATTTTGAGTATACTGAGTTTTGTAACATCATTAAAATTGATTTCACTTGTTTCCTTTTTTTGAAACGTGGCTACTCGGAAACTTAAAATTATATACACAGCATGTAGTTTGCAAAGCAGATGGTCAAAGTGGAATGGCTGAAAGAATAAGATAAGGCCTCCCTTTGATAACTCCCCCAAGGCCTTGAACATGACTCAGTGTTGGAAACCATTTGTCCGTGCCTCCTCCGCACTGACCTTGGACTGCTTTCGCAGACGCCATCTCATATAATCACGCAGCAACACGGAGGGGTCATTCTCTCCCCTGGTGAGGTGAACATCGGTCACAATAGGCACTGAGGGCAGCCTTAACAAAAGGATGCCTCCGGCCAAAGGTCCAGAACAGCAGCCACAGGTAAGGGTCTGGGGCCCGGGGACAGATCAGATGTTGTGACCAGTCAAATCTCATTCACCTGGCTCTGGGGGTGGTAGCCTGTTTTGGTTAATTACATTTTTCTGGGTAATGGAAAGCTCACACTCCTTTGGAGTCAGCTCTTGTTGGTGAAAGTCTTTCTAAAGCAAGTCAGTGTTAGCTGGTCTGTTGGCCCTAGCAAGGTGGTATAATGGAAACTTCTTTGGTCATTCAAGGGCTGCAGCCCTAGGGTCTGTATTCCTACCACACATCTTCATTGTCCTGCATCGGAAATTGACTATGGGATGTGGGGGCCACTGGGCAGGTAACAATGACTCAGAATCATCTCCTGGGAGATGCATTTGGGGCTAAATCCTGAAGTAGCTTGGAGGGGGCAAAATGAGTTCAGGGGTATCCCTTTTTTTTTTTTTTTTTTTGAGACAGTCTCGCTCTGTTGCCCAGCTGGAGTGCAGTGGCACCATCTTGGCTCACTGCAACCTCCACCTACTGGGTTCAAGCAGTTCTCCTCCCTCAGCCTCCCGAGTAGCTGGGATTACAGGCACCCACCACCACGCCTGGCTAATTTTTGCATTTTTAGCAGAGATGGAATTTCACCATGTTGGCCAGGCTGCTCTCAAACTCTTAACCTTGTGATCCACCTGCCTCCGTCTCCCAAAGTGCTGGGATTACAGGTGTGAGCCACCACACCTGCCATATCCCTTTGTTTTGTAGAGATAGAGTCTCTTCCTGTCACCTAGGCTGGAGTGCAGTGGCGTGATCATAGCTCACTGCAGACTTGAACTCCTGGGCTTAAGCGATCCTCCTGCCTTAGTGTCCCAAGTAGCAGGGACTTCAGGCACATGGCAGCATGCCCTGCTAATTTGTTTTATATTTTGTGGAGATGGGGTCTCACTATGTTGCCCAAGCTGGTCTCGAATTCCTGGCCTGAAGCAATCCTCTCACCTCAGCTTCCCAAAAAGGTGGGATTCCAAAAAATCTCCAAAAATCCTTTTTTAGAAAAAATTCTTTGAAAGATTTTAAGCAGAGGAGTGAATGTGATCTAGTTTACCCGATGGGGATGAAGTTGACACGATCTTCACCTCTAATTCAGGAGACAGATCAGAAAACAGGCAAAAATAATGAAAGAATGATGACTACTTTGATAGTAGCTTAGGCCTCCTGAAAGTTCAGGGATTTTGCCAATGTTAGGGCCAGGCTTGACTGCAGATCTTTATCATATGCAATTGAGCTGAAACTTAGTTTTTTAAAAAGTGTCTACAGCTGTTTTCCTAATTCCCCTTCCCTCAAAAAACATTAAACAATTGTTTAGCACACTATTTCCGCCCTCAGATTTTTCAATCTTCTTCAACTTTGGACTGCCTACTTATTATTTTTTATTTTTATTTTCTGAGACAAAGTTTCGCATCCACCTCAGCCTCCCTAGTAGCTGGGACCACAGGTGCCTGCCACTAAGCCCGACTAATTTTTGTATTTTTGGCAAAGACGAGGTCTATGTTGCCTAGGCTGGTCGTGAACTCCTGAGCTCAAATAGTCCTCCTCCCACCTTGGCCTCCTGAAGTGCTGGGATTACAGGCATGAGCCACCACAGCCTGCCTGGGCCTCCCACTGTTTTTTTTTTAAGATGGAGTCCCACTCCGTCACCAGGCTGGAGTGCAGTAGCATAATCTCGGCTCACTGTGACCTTCGCCTCCTGGGTTCAAGCAATTCTCCTGCCTCAGCCACCTGAGTAGCTG